TCAGACTTTTTTTTTTATAGCGCAAAAAATATAAAAACCACATAGGCGATCAAATACCACCGAAAGAAAGCTCAATTTCTGGGAAAAAAGGATGTAAATTTCATTTATGTACCGTATTGCATGACCGCGCAATTGTCCGTTAAACTAGCACAGTGCTGTATAGCAGAAAAATGGCGTTAAAATTGCAGTATTTATACCATAGTTTGTAGACGCTATAACGTTCACAAAAAAGTAATCAATATACACTTATTGGGATTTTTTTTTACCGAAAACATGGAGCAGAATACATTTTGGCCTAAATTTATAACCAACTTTGAGTTTACTATATATTTTTTATAGCTGAAAGTAAAAAATATTGTTTTTCTTCACAATTTTTGGCCTTTTTTGTTTATAGCATGAAAAAATAAAAAGAGCACAGGTGATCAAATTAGGCCGAAAGAAAGCTCTATTTGTGTGGAAAAAAAGGACGTAAGTTTCGTTTGGGTGCAGCATTGCATGATCGCGCAATTATCAGTTGAATTAGTGCAGCGCCGAGTAGCAAAAAGAGGCGTGGTCATTAAGGGGGGGTAAATCCTCTGGAGCTCAAGTGGTTAAAGTCAGGTCCCTAACAGCTCCACCCAATGTCATGTTCTGTTGCCAACCTGTACCAGCCATACACAACCAGCTCAGTGGGTAGACACCAGTCATTTTATGAATAACCTTTGTAATTCCTTCCTTCACGAGCACCACATAATCATACATATTTACGGCCATTAATGTTAGATTACCTGTCACCACCCAGCTCTGAACCTGCATCCTCGGCTGTATCTGGCAGTACTTCTAGTTCCTGAGCCCCATGAGATGATGGACAACGCCCTGGAGATTTCCTTGGACAATCTTGCCTTTTACTTTGTGTCTGGTGAACCTTGAACTATTTGCTCCTCCATGAACTTCCTAGCTAAGCCATTCCTTTGTACTTCCTGTTTGCCAGATCTGATCCGGCAACCTCTGCTGTCTTTTCTTCTTGAGCCACCTGAGATGCTGCACAGCTCCCTAAATAATCTCTTGAACAGTTCTTCAGATAATCTTGCCTTGTACCTTGCTTTTGGTGAACCTTGAACATTTTGCTCCTCAGGTGAACTTCCTTTGTAAGCCATGTCTTTACACTTCCTGTTTGCCAGATTATTGTGCTCCTCCAGCCAATATCTCTCCTACTGTCCATATCTTCATTGTCACTCATTAATGAGATGTGGCTTGTTCCTCTACTACACTTCAGCTTGATCCTAACCTGCAACCACTTATTACTGACCTTTTGGCTTGTTTCATGACTATGGTTCCACTTGTTTCCAACCTGCAACCAAGTATTACCAACATTTGGCATGTTCCTTGACCAGGGGCGGACTGACCATTTGGGAACTCGGGCACTGCCCGAGGGCCCGGGGTCAGTAGGGGGCCCCATGAAGTGCCCCTGGTACCTTTTTATAGGCTTTTTTGAGTGGGGGCTAGGACTTAGGGTCCCATGATCTCCTATTACCCGGGGGCTCCATGAGTTGTCAGTCTGCCCCTGTCCTTGACTATGATTTTGCTTGATCCCAACATGCAAACATTTGTTACTCACCTTTGGCTTGTTACTGACGACATGCCTGCTTGATCACTACCTGCTATATCTGCTACTGGACCCCAGCTTGCTCACCTCCTGGTGAATCAATCCTGAGGATTGCAATCTGGAACTAACTTGCAGCAAAACCCATCTCCACCATCAGGAGCTCTTGTGTATAGCAGTTAGTGCTTAGACCCGGCACCTTGGGTGACCCCGCATCATCTACCGGGGTGCCTTGCTTGTATATTTATCCTGCTGGTTGGTGGGATCTCTAAACTGCTATAGCTGCTGCTCTCTGAGCCTGACCATAATACCACCAGTCCAAACTTTACCAATGACCTTACATTTCTGGGACCATAGAGGACCCACTGATTCTGTGACAAAAGCACAACATGCCTCCACTGGTGCCCCATATTCTTTCCATACCTCAATTCCCCAAACTTCTGCACTTATAGTCATAGCCATATACACACCTTTACCGAGGGGGGGGGAGTGGGTGGGCCAAAATGCTTACTTTGCTGTCGGTGCCTCCTCAGAGTTTTTCCAAGACTAAACTATAACTACCTCCTCTCTACTCCCTACATCATATCCTCAAACCATTCCCTACCCATTCCTAACCTTTCTCCTACCTTCCAGCCCATCCTGTCATGTGCTTTACCTCCTATGTGCTCAGGGCAGCCCTTTTCATCAATTATTGTGGCCACGTGCAGCAATTTTTTACAAATTCAACCACTTTAAACTAGCCTTCAATTGCACAGTTGACCAATTGGACAGATGCAACCAGCCAACAATATCTTCTGTCGATGCTGTGAAATTGATGTAACGCAATGGGTATAAATTGCCTTAAAATATGTTATTTTTTTTTTTTTTTTTGTTTTAATTGAACCTGGCTTAAAGCTAACCAAGCCATAAATTATACAATTTTCTTTTCTTCCACCTTGGGTTAAAGTAAAGAAAATGGATTGATTCCCCCATTCACACTGTCAGTGTCAATGGGGGTGTCACAAGTTAGTCTGCAGTTTCTTGTTTGTGTATTCTTACCTCCTTGCTGCAGTGCTGTTCCTGATCCCTTTCACGTGTGTGTTTGCTGTGCTCACCTATGGGCATTGTCTGCTGTTCTCTGGGTTTTATTTCCTTCCCTTCCATCACTTCTGGCCCTGGCCCGCCTCCTTGTTTGCCTGCCTATATAAGACGTGCTCAGACTAGGCCACTTTGCCTGAGCAACTTCCTAGTTGTCGGAGCTCCTGTGTGTTGCTATCTCCTGTATCCTGCATTGACTGCTCGTGTACCGACCCCGGGCTTCGTTCTCTGACTGTGCTGTTTTTTCCACCTGTCCTGACCTCGGCTAGTCTATAGGATTTCCGTTTGTCTCCTCCCATTGTACTCTGCTCCCACAAGCGGTCTCCTCATCCTCAGCTGGGCTTACCCGGGGGCTGCGACCTGGTTCCAGCTTGCTGCAAATCCATCCCCACCATCAGGGGCTCTGGTGAAGAAGCAGGCTGGGGCTTAGACTCCGCACCCTGGGGAACCCCGAGTTGACTATCTACAAGGGCTCACTACCACAGGTGCTGACAAGGGGGAATCCCTCCGGCAACATTATTGTGTTATGCTGGTGGGCGAGCCTTCCCTGCCGGCAGGACACAGTGAATCAACTTCAGTACAACCAGCCTACCCATAGATGGATCAAATTTTGGGCAGTCTCTGAGGAACCAGCTGAGTTTTGATCCCTCTATGGCCAGCTTTACCCTGTGAGTGTAGCCAGCAGTGGTTAGTCAATAGTCACATTTAGCTGGTCTTGTTCTACAATGTTGGAGACTTTTCACGGCTTTTCTTCTTCAGTGCTAATGAGTATTAAGAGCGTACTCTAGTATGTATATCCACATGGATTCCCCTAATGAAGTCACCATGGAAGGTTTCAATCACAGATGTTTATTGCTCAAGAATAGAATAAGAGGTGTGAACATTTGTGGAAATTCACTGTTCTAATTACATAATTCCATCCACCTTGATGTGAAAAGGCTGCAGTGGGTGTCAATCCATCCATTTACATGGCTCCAGGTGTGAAATCATTAGGGTAGAGATGTAAAAGTGGCATTATGTGTGGAAGGCAGATGTGTTGAATGCCCTCATTGAACACATCTGCCTTCCACACGTTGTTGCAAGAAGCAAGATGGCTTCTTTCATGCTTCTTGTAAACAAGTTGCCCTCCCTGTCGAAAATGTGCACTTTACTGTTCTTAACCACTTGCCGTCCGCCTGCTGTTTATAAACAGCAGGGCGGTGGCACTCCAGGGGCGGGTTGCCGTTCCTAAATGGCACCCGCCTTTTCTAGCTGTGCACGCTCCCTGGAAGCGCGCAGCACCGCGATCAGGTGCCCGCTGTGTCCTCCGGATACAGTGAAACACCGATCGTCGGACGGCACCTCGGTCCCGATCGTGTGATCACTGATTGGCCAATCAGTGATCACATGCAAAGTAGTAAGCAAGATGTCACTTGTGACATCATTGCTTACTACGTGTGAAATCTGTGAATGATCACAGAGGTCACATGGTACAGGGCTATTCACAACAGCCTTGTACCACGTGACAAGGTGTGACCAATCACAGCTCACTCAGTATTTCTCAATGGCTGCAAGAATGCAGACAGAGAGAAAGAGAAATGATTGCTTTTACATCCTATATGGGTGTAAAAGCAATCAATGTAAAAAAAAAAAATCTTCATCACCCCCCACAAGTAGTACAGTGTCACCATGGTGACACTGTACTGCTAGGGTGACAGTATGTAAAAAAAACAACAACCCATAAATAATAATATAAAAATGTAAAAAAAAATGTTTAAAAATTATAATTTTTGGTTATAAACTAATTTGGCTTATTTTTTTTTTCTAAAAATATAACGGAATACATTTTGGCCAAGATTTATGATGAAAGTTTATTTATTTGCAAACTTTTATAAGAAAAACACCTTTTTTCAAAATTTTTGGACATTTTCATTTACATAGCAAAAAAAATAAAAATCCCAGCGGTGAATAAATACCACCAAAAAAAGCTTTATCTGTCTCAAAAAAATGGTAAAAAAATTCATATGTGTACAGTATTGCATGACCGCGCAATTGTCATTCAAAGTGTGATAGCGCTGAAAAAGCTGAAAATTGCCCTGGACAGGAAGGAGGGGAAAGTGTCCGGACTGGAAGTGGTTAAAAGAATGTTCTTTTTTTCTTAAAGCCTAACTCTGTCCTTCTTTTCACTTTAACTACGAGGGGCATTCAAGTCAAACCGGGACTTTTAATTTCCAGGTATAAAAATGGATGCTAGCATGGCGGTACTACACGCAGTGGTAAGTGGCAAGTGTGTCCTATTACTGATAGGCGGCGCACATGTCGTGGGCCAGTCCAGAGACCGTTGATCAAGATGGCAGACAACAGTGTCAGTACGTGCGTGGAACAGCATGCGGTGTTAAACTTTCTTGTGAACGAAGGCGTAAAACCCATAGATATCTACAGAAGGCTTCAAGCACAGAACGGTGATGAGACGTTCAGCCCCAGTAAGACATTTGAATGGTGTAAATGTTTCAAAGATGGCCCCAGTAAGACATTTGAATGGTGTAAATGTTTCAAAGATGGCCCCGGTAAGACATTTGAATGGTGTAAATGTTTCAAAGATGGCCCCGGTAAGACATTTGAATGGTGTAAATGTTTCAAAGATGGCCCCAGTAAGACATTTGAATGGTGTAAATGTTTCAAAGATGGCCCCGGTAAGACATTTGAATGGTGTAAATGTTTCAAAGATGGCCCCAGTAAGACATTTGAATGGTGTAAATGTTTCAAAGATGGCCCCAGTAAGACATTTGAATGGTGTAAATGTTTCAAAGATGGCCCCAGTAAGACAATTGAATGGTGTAAATGTTTCAAAGATGGCCCCAGTAAGACAATTGAACGGTGTAAATGTTTCAAAGATGGCCCCAGTAAGACATTTGAATGGTGTAAATGTTTCAAAGATGGCCATAGGTCCATCAGTGACAATCCTGGCCATGGTGGTTCCCATCCCACAGCAGTCATTCCTGTGAACATTCAGCGCGTGGAACGCTGGATCCTGGATGTTTGACGCATAACCTGTCATGAAATTGCACAAGAGACAAATCTTTCTGTGGGAACGGTGAACACAATGATGATGAAGTCAGCCAGGCTGTCCTAGGATGGTTCAGGCATACTGACAAATCTTTCTATGCCAAAGCCTTAGAGGCATTAAACGCTGGGATAAGTGTATAAATGTAGCAGGGGAGCATGTCAAACAATAAATGTAGTTTCCACTCCTTGAAATTTGTTCTTTGATCATATAAACTCAAAAGTCCCAGTTTGACTTGAACACCCCTCGTAGTTTATTTGGTCAAGCCAGCTCAAATGAACCATTTGCTGTACTGTAGCATCTGCTATGGGCGGCACAGTGGCATAGTGGTTAGCACATCTGCCTTGCAGTAAATGGGTCATGGGTTCGATTCCCAACCATGGTGCCACCTGCATTGAGTTTGCATGTTCACCCTGTGTTTGTGTGGGTTTCCTCCCACACTCCAAAGACATGCTGGTAGGTTAATTGGCTCCTGTCTAAGTTGTCCTAGTTTCATCCTTGGCCATGTGGGATGTCCTGCATGGTGGGGGTTGGGGAAAGACCTTTGCTAAGACAATTCATGGAAAAAGTCACTTACAAGTGACAGTCCATGCAATCGCCAAGGGTGGGATACAACTGAATGGATAGATAGATAGAGCATCTGCTATATATAGTAGACAGCGTTGTGTTCTGGTAGTGGTACAGGTTCTTCCCATCTGCTGCTGGAACAAAATTGAGTCAGGCTGTGTGCTACTTAGCCATTCACAGGAATCCTTGTATTTTTATCATGGAACACAAGGCTTCCCATAATTGGCTGAGGTGGAGATCACGAATAATGTCAAAAAACTCATGCATTCATATATTTCTGAGCAGCCCCACTTCACAGAGCAGAATATGGGTGAGAGTTATTTCCCAATGTGTTTTCCATAGAACATCATCAAGGAATTCAGAGGTATGAGGCTACATATGGTTATACATGTGGTGCATGTCACAACATCCAGACTAAAAACTCTCCTCGGTGAGGGATGCATAGAAGGAAGGGCACGGAAGAAGGCGCCTACGATAAGATTGCTCAGCATTTGAAGGCGTGACTGAGACAATCTCTATAATTAGTTGTAGGTGTCTCATCTGTTGGTATGAGAAAAACCAAAGAACATTTTGGTGTTCCTCCAGTCCCAAGAGGTAGACACTGCTTTGTATAAGTGCTGGCTAAGGATATCCAACCAGGTTTCTGACTGGCACCATAAATTCTAGATACAAAATTCCCCCCCCCAGGAACCAAGAATGAGGCACACATATAAAACCAGCCTGCTGATGCTTGTCTGTATATCCTGCCACCTCCGTCCATCCCAACATCCAATAAGCATCATTTTTATGACCAAATTCATATTTATTGCTGCTAGCTGAGGGTGGCACCTAAAAATTCCTGTATGCATTTTAAGAATATGATTTGGGGGATACTGCTTCCACTCTCCCATCATCTATTGGTATAATTTCCTACGTTTGGTACCGTAGATGAGGAGTTGTGGCCCAATAGCATATGTACGAGGGGCATTAAAGTGAAATCGGGACTTTTGAGTTTATTTAATAAAAGAACAAATTTCAAGGAGTGGAAACTGCATTTATTTTTCTACATCCTCCCCTGCTACATTTATACGCTTTAACTAATGCTTGGAAAGCTTCGGCATAGAAAGGTTTGTGAGTACCCCTAACCCATCCTAGGACAGCCGGCTTCACTCCATCACCATTGTTTTCACCGTTCCCACAGAAAGATTTGTCTCTTGTGCAATTTCAGGACAGGTTATGTGTTGATTATCCAGGGTCAGGCATTCCACGTGCTGAATGTTCACATGCTGTGGGCTTGGAACCACTATGCCTGGGATCATCACTGATGGATGTACAGCCATCTTTGAAACATTTACACCATTCAAATGTCTCACTGCAGCTGAGCATCTCATCCAGGGGTACATTTACCACAAAGCAAACAATGTATTTGCCTAGGCAGCATCGCCCTCCTGGAAGAAGGGACACATGTGGCTTGGAGACAGGGGCGGACTGATAACTCATGGGGGCCCCCGGGCAATAGGGGATCATGGGGCCCCTGTGTCCTTGCCCAAACTCAAAAAAGCTATGAAAAAGGTTCCAGGGGCATCTCATGGGGCCCCCTACTGACCCCGGACCCTGGGGCAGTGCCCGAGTTTCAAAATGGTCAGTCCACCCCTGCTTGGAGACCAGATAGCATCTGAGAGAGGCTGTGGGCTGCTTGACTCTCGGTCCCTGGGATGTCCAGAGCTGTGAAGGGAGTGTATGGGAGCGATGGTAGTGGAAGGCGCTCTCAGGTGTGGGGGGCAGGGATGTTGTTGGTCAATGTCAGGCTTACTCCTTTGGAGGGGGGGGGATTTTTGTTGCCTAGGGCAGCGCAAAACCTAAATACACCACTGGTCTCATCATCATACTGTGCTTGAAGTCTTCTGTAGATATCGGTGGGTTTTACTCCTTCGCTCTCAAGAAACGTCATCACCACACGCTGTTCCATGCACACACTGTTGTCTGCCATCTTGATTAACGGTCTCTGGACTGGCCAGTGACATGTGCACCGCCTATCAGTACTTACTACTGCATGTAGTATAGCCACACTAGCATCGCTTTTTCTACCTGTAAAATTAAAATTCCTGGTTTGACTTGAACGCCCCTGTCATGGATCCCCACTACACGCCCACAGTGACTAGCTAACCGAGGTGTGCATGTCCGGCCATGACTTGGGGTAAGAGGGAATGAGGGGGACTTACATTGAACATATAAGACTGGCCGTGATACACTTTCACAGCCCGCACTGCCTCTGGCCACCACTAGAGGGATACTCCACTCCAATCCAGCTGGCTGACCACACACAGGCAGATACAAATCTTATATACAATCTGGGGAGCAGTCTAGCAATTGGCACACCCTTCTAGGATTCCTCCAACTATCCTACAAGGTAGAATCCAGTGTAATTCACTCTTCCACTGTCCACACACCAGACACACAACAAACGGTAGCTTGCCACCACCCAACAGTTTGTCCACAGACTGGTCTGCTGGGCCACCACACACACAGATCTCCGTCTGGCAGATCTGCTACTTTACAATCTGCATGCAACCTGCCAACACACAGTACAATTACATACAGATTGGCAATGAACTTAGACAGAGCACATAGAGACTACAATACAACAATCTCTCCAGAGATATGAGCCTGAGCTTAGTACACAGAAGTCACTTATTAATTTTATGATTTAACATCCCGAAAGTGGACGGTGCATAAAATATGTACAAAGTATAAAGAGTTACAGAAAATACAAAAAGACACACAATTGGCTATTCACTATAAAATAAAAGGGAATAAAAACAGAAATAAAACTTTTACCATAATTTATCCTGCGACTGGAGCAAGTCAGAGATTCGCCAGTCAAATAGAACCGACTCTGTACGAATCACATCGTCCATATCTCAGGGTCCTCAATTTATTGAAATATGGATATGGGCTGGACATTAGCCCATGGCCAATCAACCCTGGGGGTGTTCCTGTACCAGCCCACAGGATGTTCTGGGTTCTGTAGTGCCCAAAGTCAGTTGGACCAGGAACAGTTTGAATCACCAAGTCAGGGATAGAATTTCCGACACCAGCGCATCAGTCCTATCGCGACAGTAGCAATCACTGTTCAGCTGTCGCAATCAGGTGCCATTTTGTACGTTTCTCTGGGATTCTACAGAGGCTACAAATACACTTTTACATGTAGATGTAGCCTACAGTGTGTCCAATCAGAAGGAAGTATTTTCATCCCTCTGCAACTAATATTTTTGCTTTTATGAGAGATGAAATAGATTCCTCTGATCTATGGATATAAATCAGAGCTGGCAGACAAAGCGGAGCCACGCCTGGTCTCCTGCTGCTTCCCAAAGCCGAAATGGCTAGAGCCCTTCTTTTAGATTTCAAGAAGGTGGCAAACTCTGGCTACATAGGTGAAAATGTTTTATTGGCATCTCAGTGTCACCTCCAGCCTAGAAGATGCTCTGTCCTTTCATATGCTAATTAGTGAACATATGTCTCTGACTGACAACCTAACACTTATCTGTAATAACATGGAATTAAACTAGATCTACAATTACATATTTCTACAGATCACATCACATCTCAACTACTCGAATCTTACATTTATGTCACAGTCCCTTGTATATTCTTGAGGGAAACTCTATGTAAGGCTCACAAGGCGATAGATTTAAGACGGAAGCAATGAACTTCCCCCTGCCCACATCATTGGATCATTTTGGTTGACCAAATAACTTCATATGAAGTGTGGGACTTTTGGAGGATCTCAGGCTTGACTTGACTTGATTATGAACTGTTCTACTTTTCAGCACATATAAAAAAGACTTCAGTGTGTGAATGACAAGGATTAGATATGTGCACACTAGAAAAGTTTTTTGTTTCATTTCGGATGCATTTGTTAGGTTGATCATTTGTTTATTCGTTTTCATTGTAGTGGCCCAGTTTGTTTTCAGGATTCATTTCGTTTCTTTGGGATTCGTTTTGCACATTCGTTACATCGAGTGGATTTGAAAAGTATTCTAATCCACCTGGTATAACTTCGGATGGATCCAAATTAATAAAACTGTGAATAGATGTGGTTGTTAAGGAGTGGGCGGCCGCTGCCTCCTTAACAACCATGACTCATCTGGTGACCCCACCCTCATGTTTACCTGTCATTCACGAGTGACTTCTCGTCTAGAGACACTAGCCGAATACCAGGTAAACATGGGGGGTGGGGTTGGGATCTGAAACCTCCCTTGTTAAAGGGGATTCCAGATTCCGATAAGTCAACTCCCCTGAACCCCCCCATGACCACCAGGCCAGGGTGGTGGGGAAGAGGCCCTTGTTCTCATCAACATGGGTGCTTTTGGGGCCCCATATTGAGGGCATGCGGCCTGCTATGGTTCAGGAGGGAAAGGCTCTAGATCGTCCTCCCCTTTCCTGGTCTGCTGGACTGCATGTTTGGCTAAGGGTCAGGTATGGATTTTAGGGAGGGGGGTACGCACGCCAACATTTAAAAAAAAAAATTGGAGTG